CCGGTGCCGCCCGCCCCGGGCTCGCCTCCGCCGCCGCTGGGACCTCCACGGCGTGCCCAGTGCAGCGGGGACTTGGCAACATTCAGGGTTCAGCCCGTGTTCCGCCTGCTGACTGGAAAATACTTTAAACAATAATAATAACGACAGCAGCAACAACAACAATAATAATTCCCATTCTGCTGGCAGCTCCCCTTTTGAATAACGAATAGGCATATGGAGCTTTCGTGGGAAAACTGGGTTACCATCAATAAGGCAGTAGTGATGAAACAACGAGGAAAAACGGCGAGGAGCTTTTCCTGGAAGAACCCGTCTGCGCAAAACCCCATTTGACCAATGCTCCCGCAGCAGAGGCGGCTTTCCGATAAATGGTTGTTTCAATGAATTAAGCTAAATATAGGAGTTTGAGTATAGGCAGAAGCGAGGAGATTGCAATTTTTTCTCGGAGCCAAATGGATCCTGTCATGAGGCTACATATATTTTAAATCCTAGCGACTAGAGATAAAGGTGAGGGCTGGCAGTTTGATCCGTTCAAAGTTCAAAGATCTGAAATCTCAATAAGTTTCTGTTTGAGGTGAAGAGGAGAAACACAAACACCATGGCACGGCTTGGGCCAGAAAGTTGCCCTGTTTGGGAGTGAAATGCGAGGTTATTTACACTAATCTGTCCTTAACTGCTACTTTGTCACAATGGGCAGAATAATTAGTAGAAAATAACCAGAGAGAACAAAGGCAGGTTTTCTTCTTATCGCCTTCCATTTTCCAATCTTCTCTTCCCTCAAATTGCTCTGCAGCTGCAAAGGACCTTTCGACCCTGCAAACTGCAGAAAATGTTCGTTCTATTTTTATTAGTTATCATTCTGCATTTGCGAGTAGGCTGAGAAGCCTGGGTTTGCATTAAGGGGAAAAATGACCCCTTTTACAGTGCCGCAATTGGCATTTAAATAATCAGACTAATTGCATTTTTATTTTAGCTATTAACCACTATCCAATATATCCTAATATTGCAGCGTGGGAGTTTTGCGAAGACTTACAGGTACATTTCCTACCCCAGTCGCTCTCTGCACACTATTGTGATTTTCGCCTGGTCATTGTGTGTTGCGTATATTTTCACTTGTCTCCCATGGAAACAAATATATATTAATTATATATATGTTAATATACACAACATATTTACCTATATGTCTCCCGAGGGAACTTTCCATCCGGTGTTTATATGAGGATAATTTATTTCTTCACAAATTCAAAGGATCAACCTGTATGCAACCCAGAAGTGTATATTGATCAAGACTCTGTTTTTTTAAATAAAATATTTTTTCAGAGTGATTAAACGCGTGTATCCACACATGTATGCCTAGAGCCCGTCTTATCATAACTGAAAAGAAATATTATTACGTGCATTGTTATTACAATCAAGAGTTTTATCTACAATATCACTGTAAAATTAAAACAAAGTCAATTGCTCTTTTAAAGGTTAGTTGGCGTTACAGCGAGGGAATTCATTTATTTCGGGTTTTTGTTGACGGACCGGTAACCATTCAAGTATTCGACCTCTCCACATTTCAAAACAATATTTGAAACTACATCAAAGGCTGAAATGTTTTTTTTTTTTCACCGTTCTTTTAGGATTTACTTATATTTTATTGACATTGCTATATTTCATGGAGGAAAAAAAAAGATAGAACTTTTTTTTTTTCTCATCTTTCCATCTGGTAATTTTAAACAAATTCCTTGCAATAAATGTTCTCCCTTCTATTGTTTTGCTACTGTAGATGTCAGTGTTGTCCATTCGGACTCAGAAAATAGCCCGAGGGGGTTGTTGTTCTTTTACTTACACCCCTCATTTGGGTGAATGAAATCGGTTTTATTCCATCGACTCTCCCGATCTCAGGAGAGAAAGTGCTTTTAGGAGGTGCTAAGGGCCAGGGGCCGATTCTGCCGGCCCTTGCCGCGGGCAGCAGGGTGGCCCGGACCGCCCAGGCAGGGCGTTTCGGGGGGTGCTGTACTCGCTGCGCCCCGCGGAAGCGCGGCCA